GCCCCAGGGTCGCACCCTGGTGGCCTTGTAGAGAGACACAGGAACATGGAGGAAGACCACACCCCCGACCCCACCCCTACTCCAATCCGCCATCAGACACCAGGCTGATGGGGCTGCCCCACCGTGGGCTCAGGAGGGAAACAAACCCTCTTCCTTCTTAGGTATTTCAGTTAGAGTCAAGAGCAGCTCACGGACCAGGGGTCGTCCAAATGTGCCGTAGAAGGCCAGACGAGGAGCGGGGGCAGCTCTGTGGGCTGGCTGGTCTCTCGGGGGCAAGGACTCAACCCAAAGGGCCGGTGTGTAGCACCAGCATCCCATACCCACGGCACGGGCTTGAGTCCTGGCTGCTCCACATCCGATCCAGCTCTCTGCTAATCCACATGGGAAAGCAGAAGATGGCCCAAGTGCCTGGGCCCCTGCCAGCCACGTGGGAGACCCGGAAGAATCTTTCTCTCCCTCTCTGTAACTCCTTTCAAATAAACACATTGATAAAAAAAAAAAAAAAAAAAAAAAAAAAAGACTCGATCCAAATGAACTGGCAGGCCAGCATCCCAATAAAACTTCCGTGTGGATCAAATTGACATTTCCTACAAGGGCTTTGTTTCAAGAGATTCTGTGGGTGCCTGAAGCTCCAGACAGCACCAAGCCCCACACACACTACGCTTCTGCCTACATACACACATCTGTGGCCAAGGTCTGATTTCTAAATTAGGCACAATAAGAGATTAATAACTAATAAGAAAACAGGACAGCCCTAACAATATCCTGTAATAATGGGAGTTATCTAAAAACCCATGGACTGTTTCTGGAATTTTCCACCTAAGATCTTGGACCCTGGGCAATGACAAGCGGGGAAAGTGAAACCCACAGAGGAGGTGAGCTTTCTAACTGCTTTAAAGACATGAAACCTAGGGCAGGCGCTTCGGAGGGCCCGGGTTTCAGTCCTGGCTCCTCCCCCTCTGACTCCGGCTCCCCGCTCAGGCTCAGCCTGGGAGGCAGCAGGTGGTGTCTTGAGTTCTCAGGTCCCTGCCGCCCACGGGGGTGGGGGTGGGGGTGGGGCGTGAGTTCTCAGCTCCCAGCTTCATTCTGGCCCCAGCCCTCACTGCTGCAGGTACCTGGGGAGTGAAATCAGAAGACGGGAGATGTGTGTGTGTGTATGTGTGTCTGCGTGCGTGTGTGTCCTTCTCACTCTTTCAAATACAGATAATTCAGCAGAAGACTTTAAAACTTACAAGTTGTGCATTTCTGGATTTTTCCAGGTAGCATTTCAGACTGTGGGCCAACAAAGCCACAGAAAGGGACCCACAGATGAGGGGCACCTGTAAGTCTTTTTGTGTATACCTGTTTTTTTAATTACTTGAAAGGCAGAGCTACAGAAGAGAGAGGGAGGGAGGGAGGGAGAGACAGAGAGATCTTCCAGGAGCTTCGTCTGGGTGTCCCACGCGGGTGGCAGGGGCCCAGGCGCTGGGACCGTCCTCTGCTGCCTTCCCGGGTGCATCAGTATAGAACTGGATGGGAAGTGGAGCAGCTGCGACTGGAACCAGCGCCCACGTGGGATGCCGGAGTCGCAGGCTCGTGGCGGTGTAACCCACTGCGCCTCCGCGCCGGCCCAGGAAGGAGGAGCCCTCCTAGGGTGAGGGCTACAGTAGTCGGCTGCCCCTGGGCAGATCAGAAACAACCTGGCAGGCGGAAGGAAAAAGCCAGCAGGCCACGCGTGGGCTTCGTACTTGGGAAGCGCCGACTCCGTGTTCCTGGTTTGCCCCGATCCTTCCGCCTGGCTGCTCGCGTGGGAATGTGTGCCACCAAGCTCTCCAGGAACTCAGGAGCCAGAGCCAGGCTCCGGGCCGACCCAGCGTGCCTCGCGGCATCAGAACGCCATGGACCCCTCTCTCCCTCTCTCTCTCCCTCTCTCTCTCTCTCTCTCCCTTTGAATGGCCTGCCTTTTGCTCTGTCTGAAAATCGCATGGTCTCTCATCCACACAGGAAAACATCAAGGGGTTTTTTTTGTCCACACGCTCAGATCTGGCTGAGGAAGAGACAATGAAACAGAGAGAAATGGCCTGGCTCGGGCCACCCGCGCTGGCTCCTCAAAAGCAACCACGGCAGAGCAGAGCCAATCTTGTCAAAGCCCCCCTCCCGCCCCCCCGCCACACACCAGCGAGAGGAATAAAACGGGGCTTTGGTCTGTTAACCACATCCCTTGGAAATGGCCAGCTAGACCATCAGCTCACTTTTTAAAAACAGGTTTGCAGATGCTGGCGTTACGATTTAGACCGTGAGGAGCAAATGATGCTGATCCACACGGGGCAGTCCGGCAGCGAAGCGCAGACCTGAGCCCACCAGCCCTAGCCCCGGGGGTAACAGGGGCGAACCTGCCCAGCAAACGCAGGGGGCCGGCTCTTGTTGGTCTCTGTCACAAGCACCAACTCTGCAGGGAGACCGCTCAGACGGACATACAGGGGCGTGGCTGGGTGCTAGTAAAACTTTACTGACAAACCCAGGCAGTGGGCCAGACTTGGCCGACTTCTGCTGCGGCGTAACCGGAACTAAAATGCAAGGAGAAACCCACACAAGGGAAAGATGCGTTCCACGTGTTGACACGGCAAGGGCGCAGGCTAAGGGAACGCCAAGGCCAAGGATGGCGGCTCACTTCCACGGAAACTCCGAGCGACACACTCCAGGGTAGGGTAGGCGGCGACACGCCTGCTAACATGCCTGGGGAAGCAGGGGAAGACGGCCCGAGTGCCTGGGCCTCTGCACCCACAGAAGAGACCAGGAAGAAGCTCCTGGCTTTGCCTCAAATCAGTTGCAACCTTTGTGGCCGTGAACCAGTGGATGGAAGACTTCTCTCTCTGTCTCTCCCTCTCTCTCTAACTCTACGTCTCAAATAAATAAATAAAATATTTAAAAAAAAACAATGATATTGCGGGGTGGAGGGAGCCTTATTTGCTTATATGGGAACAGGATCTTATCATCAGGTGAGAAATGCAGGCTGGGAGACACGAAGCTAACTTTTTATAACTTTTTATAAGTAAAACATAGGCACCACACCCAAACAGCTTCGCACGGAGAAAGGGCAGAAGAACCTGTACCCAGAAAGACGTCTTTGGGAGAACCTGATTATGGGTGATTTTTTTCTTTTTCTTCTAGCAATTCTGCATTTTTCTAACCTTTCTGCAATGAATCTGTACTGGCAGCAAGAAACCGTCACTCATAAAACCAACCAAAGCCACTGAAAGCCACTATGAGGTGGGGCCCCTCCTGGGCCTCTGCCCCAGGGCAACACCTGGAGGACCAAGCACAAAGTCAAGTCCAGCGAGAGCTGAGGGCGCCCCTCCGCCCCGTTCCTGACACCAAGAACCCCGAAGTCTCTCTGGCAGCGCAGACGGAGGGAGGGAAGGAGCAGCAGAACCCGCGTGGCCTGACCCCCCAGGCACGCTGGCCCCGTCCCCGGCCGCGGAATCTCTCCCATTTTTCAAATGTCCCGCTCGCTCTTTTAACGGCACGCGTGCAACCTGCAGAGACGGCAGTGGGCGAGGAAAGACACACACGCAGATCCCGGTGGGCACGTGGCTAAGCCCCTGTGACCGCCCTGTGGCCAACGTGACTCGTGGGCCGAGTTTCTGAGAGGTGCAAACTGAGACCGGGGCGAGGGAACCTGTCACCCAGGGTCCCACCAGGAAGCGGCAGAGAGCGGATCTGAACCCGCGTCTGGCTGACCCACAACGCGAGCACAGGGCGCCCAGTGTTCCAACTTCCGTGGCCTCTGATGCCAAGGCTGAGTCTCGCAGGGCTCCCAGGAGACGCACCCGGGACTTGCATTTTTGCAAGTGTACACCAGGGGCATTTCGCCTGGCGGTGAACACGACGCTCTCGACCTACGCCGGAAGACCTGGGTTTCGGCACCCAGCTCCGGCTCCTGACCGCAGCTTCCTGCCCATGCAGACCCTGGGAGGCAGCGACGCACGGCTCAAGTTAACTGGGTTCCTTTTCACCCACGGCTCCCAGCTTCAGCCCTGCCTGGCCTGTTGCAGGCATCTGGGGACAGAATACTCTCTCTCTCTTTCAAATAAATGACAAAAAAAATTTTTTCCCTAAACGTACAGCAGCCTCCAGCAGGCATCTGAAAAGCCCCGGCAGCTGATAAAGACCTTGACAATGGGATGACAGTTCTCTGGAGAAAAATACGACTATTCCAAACAAACTCCGGCATAGGATTCGTGGAGCACAAACCTCGCCTACGAACAAAGCCTCGCCTGGCAGAGACCTCAGCCCCTGTCGGAATGAGGCAGCCAAGGTCTCCTCTCCCCATTCACACGGCCCGCCGAGGGCCGGCCGTGACCTTGGCTCAGTTCCTCCTCCTCCCCGGCCTGTGCGGGGCTCCATTCAGAGGCCCCTGACCACCCACCACCACCACCACCCCCGCTACTCACAGAGCCCTGGGCACTGGGGGACACCCAACCCGGCTCTGAGTGCTGGAACACAAGGCAGAAGTACAAAGTGAGGCACAAGGCAACTTGACCTTGGTTGGCCGAGCCCCCATTGGGACCACAGGCTCCGTCAGCTTATGGGTGCAGCCCAGCTCGGGAGCTCTGTTCTCGCCACAGGTTTACAGAGCAAGAGCCAAAGGGGGGGGGGGGGGGACCTATCGCTGACTGCCGTTTGAACTTCTGACACTCTCTGCCACGAATCCTGCGAGGCGCCCACCGCAGATTCTGAAACACCAAGCTGCGAGGTGAACGTCGTGGTGGGGACAAAAAACAACTTAGCAACCACAGGTCCTTGGGAGGAATGAGGTTTATTTTCAGTGCTACTGAAGCCCTGCAGGCCTGTGTGTTTACCTACAAAGTCCAGGGCTCCAGAAACCACCACGGACGCATCACCCCAGCCCTGGGCTCCAGGCGCTCACCGCCGGGCCTTTTGCTTCGGCCACCAAACCAGGGCAGCCTGTCTCAAAGAAGCTTCTAGACCAAAAAAAAAATAATAATAATAACCCGCTGTGGTGTTTCTTTGGTTGAGATTTATTGAATTTCCACCTTGAAATCCATCGCCTGCTGGCCAAGTACACTGAAGAAACCCAAGCCTTCAGAACAGGGTCCCAATTACCACCAAGTAATTAAACCCCCACCCTCTGGTTTTTTTGGCAGCTGTGCTGGGAAAGGCCCCCGGGCTACTTCGCTTAACAGGAAGCTTCAAGGCGAAGGGAAATGCCTCCTGGCATTCCCCACCCCCACACCCCAGCCACCTCTTCTGCACCCCTCAGCCGCGGCCATCAACCTGACCTGGCTCTCTCGCTACGTGGTGACCCTGTCATGGGCCACCCACCCCCGAATGACCTCAGCTGCACCAGGACGCAGGGCTCCTGGCTGACCCCATAAACCCATGTCGGACCCGCTCAGACCCTGCTGGCCTGAACTCGCTTGCTATTTTACAAACACTGCCCACAGGAGACGCTTTGTCCAACAGTAGTTAACCCTTCTGCTTGGACCCCAGGATTAAAAAAAGAAAGAAAGAAAAAGAAAAAAACATCCTTGTGATTCTAACCCACGGGATCGGGAAGCAGGCGTCCTGGGCCAGCCTGGGAGAGGAGGGAGCCGGCACAATGGCGTTCTCTCATCTCCAGGGGAAGGCAATTTTAGCACAGTCCCACACCGCAGCCCCCTGGGAGCCCGCAGGGCACGGGGGTCCTGCGTCAGAGACCACCTGTGGGGTGGGGGCTGGGGACCCGCGTGCAGCTTGGCCAATGTTTTTCCACCCACCACGAGCTCGGGTCGACAGGGCAGATCGCTGGCTTTCTCGCAGGCATCAGGAGCGGAGGAACAGAGACTCGGAGGCCGGGAGGGCGGGCTCCTGTGTCCGGGGCCGGGGCTCAGGAGCCGAACAGCCTGGGGAAAATCAAAGGAGAGAAAAGAGAGCAGTGAGGATCGGGAAGTTACTGCTCTAAATGTAACCGGTAGGGCCAGCTTTCCACGGACAATTCCGGGTTACTGACCGCTACTTCCAGGGTAAGCTTAACACCAAGCCGCAGACGGTCACAAACACACAAAAGCCTCCACACCTGCCTGTCCACAGCCAAAGATCCAACCAACCGTGCACGGAAATTGTTTTGGGGAAAAAAATACTGCACTTGCACTGGATGTATACTCTTTGTTTTCCGCTTGTCATCAGACCCTAAACATTACGTGACACTACTCGCACCGTGTCAGTCATCGAGAGGTGGCAACCTTGCTCACGGGTCACACACAAAACCACCACCTCAAAAAGCAGCCGGCTTGGGGCCGGTGCCATGGCGTAGCAGGTAAAGCCGCCACCTGCAGTGCCGGCATCCCATATGGGCGCTGGTTCAAGTCCTGGCTGCTCCTCTTCTGATCCAGCTCTCTGCTGTGGCCTGAGGAAGCAGTGGAGGATGGCCCCAGTGCTTGGGCCCCTGCACCCGCATGCAAGACCCGGATGGAGCTCCTGGCTCCTGGCTTCAGATCAGCGCAGCTCCGGCCGTTGCAGCCAATTGGGGAGTGAACCAGAAGATGGAAGACCTCCCTCTCTCTCTCTCTTTTTTTTTTTTTCTCTCTCTCTAACTCTGCCTTTCAAATAAATAAATAAATCCTAGAAAAAACAAAATCAGCCAGCTGTAGATGGGTGGAATTTCAAGTCCTGCGGCTGCGGTGGGCAGGGCCAGACCCCATAATTTTGTGGGCCTCATGCGGCTGGCGTTCCCCACCCCTGTGCTATGCAATCACGACGCCATCCTGTGGAAGGCACTTGGCATCCGTGCATTCTGGCGTCCAAGCTAGGCCTTGGAACCGAATCCCGAGGGACGAGAAGGGACGGCTGCGCTTCCCGGGACCCTGCGACACAGCAGTCCACTTTCTGTTATTGCAAGCTAGCGGGGACTTTCAAAAGGACCTCTGAATAAATAAACAAACAAAACAAAACAAAACAAAATTACAGGCAACTCGTTGAAACAAATGTTGGAATGGCAAAGACCTGGAGTCAAGAGTTTGTAAGCTACGGACGCGGCCCTACAGGGGAAAACCAGAGATCTGCTAGAATGATATGAATGGGAACCGCCCATGTCTCCTTTCTTTTTAATATACAGTTTATCTGAAAGGCAGAGGCAGAGAGAGCGAGAAAGAGGTCTTCCATCTGTTGGTTCATTCCCCAAATGGCCACAACAGCCACAGCTGGGCCAGCCCAAAGCCAGGAGCCAGGAGCTTCTCCTGGGTCTCCCACATGGGTGCAGGGCCCAAGCACTTGGACCATCTTCCACTGCTTTCCCAGGCCATAGCAGAGAGCTGGATCAGAAGTGGAGCAGCCAGGACTCGAACCACAACCCACATGGGATGCCGGCACTGCAGGCAATAGCTTAACCCGCTAGGCCACAGCGCCGGCTCCTAGACTATAAGCTCTGACAAGTCAGTCACAATTAACATGTGAGCAAAGGATCTAAGCAGACACACGTCCAAAGCAGATGTACAAACGGCAGACGAGCACATTAGAAGAGCTCAAGGGGCAGGCACCGTGGGTTAAGCCGCTGCCTGTGACGTCAGCATCCCACAGTTCAAGTTCTGGCTGCCGCACTTCTGATCCAGCTCCCAGCTAATGTGCCTGGAAAGGCTATGGAGAAAGACCCAAGTGCTTGAGCCCCTGCCACCCGCGTGGGAGAACTTGATGGAACTCCTGGCTGCTGACTTTGGCCTGGCCCGGCCCAGCAGTTGTGGCCATTTGGGGAGTGAACCAGCAGATAGAAGATCTCGCTCTCCCTGTCTCTCCCTCTCTCTCTGTGCCTCTCCCTTTCAAATAAATATTTTTTAGAAAAATGTATCTATTTATTTGAAATTCAGAGTTACACAAAGAGAGGAGAGGCAGAGAGAGGGAGAGAGGAGAGGTAGAGAGGGAGAGAGGGAGAGAGAGGTCTTCTATCTGCTGGTTTACTCCCCAGATGGCCGCAACAGCCGGAGGTGGGCCAATCTGAAACCAGGAGCTAGGAGCTTCCTCCGGGTCTCCCACGCAGGTGCAGGGGCCCAAGCACTGGGGCCATCTTCCACTGCTTTCCCAGGCAACAGCAGAGAGCTGGATCAGAAGAGGAGCAGCCGGGATTCGAACCGGCACCCATATGGGATGCCGGCACTGCAGGTGGAGGCTCTACCCGCTATGCCACAGCGCTGGCCCCTCAAATAAATATTTTCAAAGAAAAGAACTTACTAGAGAATAAAAAAAAAAGATGTCCTCCTGATTAAGCATCGGGGAAATGAAAATCAAAACCTTCACAGCCACCAGAATGACTATAATCAAAACTCTACCGTTAGGAAAGTGCCGGCGAGCACAGGGAGGCATCCCAACCCTCCTACACGGCTGGTGCGGATTCAAATCCCGCAGCTGCTTTGGGAGACAGCCTGGGGGCTCCTCGGAAGGATAAACACAGTTACCAGATGACCCAGCAAGCTCCTCCTGGGTGTCCACACCTAACCCTAGGTCCACGCAGGCACTCTCACGTGAAACATCGCCTCAGCGCTCCTTCTGACAGCCCAAAACTGGAACCTCTACATTGCCCCCTCGGGGTGCCATCTGCAGAGTGCCACTCAGCCCCGGGCTCAAACCCCGACGGCCTCAGGCCGACACCAAAAGGCCACACAGGCCAAGACTCTGTGGCTGGGAAATGCCGGGGGCAGGCAGAGCAAGACAGGAAGCAGATCCGTAGATGCCAGGGTCTGGGGTAGAGGAGTGGGGGCGGGGGGCCTGACTGCTCATGGGGACGGGCTCTCCTTTTGGGGAGTGATGGGAATGTTCTGAATGAGGCTGCACAACCCCATGGACGACAATGAAACGCTGAATTGTGAGCGCAGACTCCCCCTGTACTCGGAAGGCCCTCTCTGTGCCCTGACGTCTTCGTTTTCTTCCTGGCTTCTCCTCTCAATATTTTATGATGAAAAATTACAACACACCGAAGAGCTACAGGAACGGTTTCACGCACACCGGGAGGTACTTGCTCTACCCACATTCTGCAATGAACTCTCTGCTGTACTGCGTCATCTATCAAATTATACATCCAACACACTTTTGATATGTTTCGAAAATAAGTTACGTGTAATACCACTGTTGCTCCCTAAACACTCAGGGACGTTTCTCCCTGTATTTCTCAAATTTTCCACAACTTCTTAAAATTTGCAAAGCAGCCTGCCTGAACCCTGTGGGGGCAGGTGCAGGCAGCGCTGAATCACGGCCCGGACGCTGCAGCTTGCTCAGCACCTGTGCACGATCACTACCGTGGACCTTCCGGAGCAGACCCTTCCAATGCCTTCACTGAACAGTGCTTCCGTCCCACGCTCACCCAGCAGTTACCCCCAGCTGGGGTCAGACCGTGCCTAAAGCACACCTGGCCTTCTTCCCTTTACAAACGTTTCCCCGTGAGGACAAGAATTCTCCGGCACACTGGTGGCGACGTGACAGCTGGTCACACAGGCGTCCTTCAAGCTACCTGACCCTTCTCTGCTCCTGGGATATTTAGGTGATTTCCAGTTTCCTAACACCCTGGAAAAGCCAGACGCTAAGAGGATTTTCCTTCACCCATCACCCCGCTGCAGAAGGCGGCCCAGCCACGGGTGGGCAAGGGTCACAGAGAAACAGGCCGTGCAGGCCAGGCAGTTGCCGTCACAATGGCAGCTTCGCTCCAGCACGGCCACGGCACACAAGCAGCCAACAAGGGCGTGGCTCCATGGCGATAAAACTTCCCGCACAAAACACAGGCAAAGCGAGCAGGTCTGCCCCCCAGGGGCCGCGGTTTGCTGACCCCTAAGCTAAATGGTTGCACTGGAATCAAACACTCCCAGCCACACCTGACCTGGGTGACACCAGCATAGGCCAATCAGACTCTGCTCCCAGGAGATGCAGTCAGGACCCTGAGCTACTGGGGAGACTGGCCTGGGAGAACCAAGCTGGGAAGTCATCCAGCCTCGGGCTGCCGCCCTGGTCACAGCCAACAGAAGAGGATTGGATGAGGAGGGCAAAGAGGAGGCACAGAAAACAGAACAAGGAAATCACACCCAGTGCTCCCGGCCCCAGGGCCTTTGCACCTGCTACGTCTGCGCTGCCGCACTTTCCTCCAGCTCTACAGGCAGCACCTCCTCCGAGAAGTCTCTCTCTGACCAACCTGGGAACCAGGAGCTCCCCTCCCACTGTCGTCTCACACCAACTGCTCCCTATCTGCGCTGGGTTTTTGTCCATGTCCCAGCTGTTAACACAGTGCCCTGCCCGGGGTGAGGAACCATGCCGTGTTCTCGGCCTCAGCCGTAATCCAAGCGCACCGCCCAGGATGGACAACTGGGAATGAGCGGAGACCCAGAGACAAAAGGCTGGCGCAGTCCCGCGACACAAGTCTGCTCTGGGTGAGCCCCAGTCTCACTTCCTACAGCGTCGGCCAATTCCCCGACCCCTTCCGGAGCTCGGTCGCGGGGCTGGCTGCCCTCGTGGGCGCTCCCAGAGGCTCCCGGGCCACCAGCACACCTTGAAAAGGTGCTCCAGGAACACAGCCCAGCCCTCAGTCCGCCTCTGGGCCACTCAGTGAAACGCCCCCTGTCCAGCCTCCAGGGGCTGGCACTAGGACTGCCCGGTAACCCGTCTCAGTCGCTCAGGATGGCTGACTCTCCCTCCTCCTCCTTCCTGGGGGAAGCCCTTGGTCCCTTCTAGCATTTTCCCCGAGGTCCTTTTGCTTCTGGGCACAGGCACAGAAGCAGAGATACAGCCCGAGGACACTTCTGGGGGCTTCCAGCGAGGGCGGGGCAGGGTCCCGCAGCATACCCGACACTCTAGATAAATACTCTCCGCTTTGACAGATGCCAAACGTGCGTGCGTGCAGCCCGGCACAGCCGGCCGGGGGTGCCGGGCCCATGGGCTCTGGGCGGCTGCCAGGTGCAGCTGGGACTCGGAGAACAACGCGTCCCAGGGGAGGCTGCAGCCTGGCCCCCGGGGGAGCCCCAGTCATGCGGTCCACGCCCCAGGGCCCCCAGATGCCTCTCGCGCGTGCAGAGTTCCCGTTTGGCAAGCGCACGGTACAGACTGAAGCAGCAGGCCCACCAGGCGGGCGGTCGCCCTGGGCAACAGCCCTGAGGCGGGGACACTCACAGGATCATGCAGAACATCATGAAGATATTCCACAGCGCGATGAAGATGCGGAAGTAGCGCAGGCTCAGCAGGAACTCCCGGATGTTGTCACCTGGAAAATCAGAACGCAGGCTTGCGCCACAGCTGCGGGGCTCTCGGTGGCTTTGCCCGCCGGCGACGACGGCTGCGGCCTCCCCTCTGGGCCCTACCCTCGGCACGCGGGCTGCGCTAGCCACTGGCCAGTGCTGTGAGAGCACCAAGCCCCATGGCCACCTCTGATTGGCTCAGGGAGGGGTGTGTGACCCACGTCTGTCCAATAGCAGCCTGCCCTGGGACTTCTGCTCTACCTACTGGGAAGCTCAGTGCTCTAGGGCAGGGAATCAGCAAATTACAGACCTGTGTGGCCCGTCCGCCAGGAATGGCTGACTGACAGACAGAGATAGATAGATAGGTAGGTAGGTAATTTTAACATTTATAGATAGACAGATAGGTAGGTAATTTTAACATTTATTTATATGGCTGGCACTGTGGCATAGTAGGTTAAGACTTCGCCTGTGGTGCCTGCATCCCATACAGGTCCTGGCCCAAGTCCCAGCTGCTCCAATTCCAATCCAGCTCCCTGCTAATGGCCTGGGAAAGCAGTGGAAGCTGTCTGTAACTCTGCTTCTCAAGTAAATAAATGAAACTCATTAAAAAAAAAAAAAGATTTATTTATTTGGAAGATAGAGTTAGTGGGAGAGGAAGAGACAGAGGGAGAAAAATCTTCCATCCACTGGGTCACTCCCCAAATGGCTGCAATGGCTGGGACTGGGTCAGGATAAAGCCAGGAGCCAGGAGCTTCTTCCAGGTCTCCCACATTGGGTGCAGTGGCCCAAGCACTTGGGCCATCTTCCGTTGTTCTCCCACGCTCATTAGCAGGACTCCCACTGGTGTACTGATAACAGATGCTGGCTTCATAGGCGGCAGCTTAACCTGCTGTGCCACATCACTGCCTCAAACTTTTAGACTTTTTAGGGGGGAAAATCAAAAGAATATTTCACCAGACACAAAATTCAATTTTCAGGGTCTGGGAGCCAACGTTGTGCCCAGATAAAGCCACCACCTGCAATGCCAGCATCCCATACGGGCACCAGCTTGTGTCCCTGCTGCTCCACTTCTGATCCACTTCCTTGCTAATGGCCTAGGAAAAGCAGCAGAAGATGGCCCGAGACTTTGGGCCCCTGCACCCACATGGGAGACCCCGAAGAAGCTCCTGGCTCCTGGTTTCAGCCTGGCCCAGCCCTGGCCGTTGTGGCCATCTGGGGAGTAAAACTCATCTCTCTCACTCTGCAACTCTTTCAAAATAAATAAATCTTACAAAGATGAAAAAACTTCAACGTCTCTGAATAAAGTTTTATTGGCACACAGCCATGCCCACTCATCTACATACCATCTCAGGTTACTTTTGCAGGACAAAGGCAGGGTTAGGTTGCTGAGCCAGGCACTCAGAGCCTCAAATGCTTACCACGAGGCCCACATCCACCCATGCCCTGGGGTCGCCTCAGCTAAACAGAGTCACCCCCGACAGCTGAGAGTCAGCCGCTACAGGGCTGGTTTGAGACTCTCTGGGCCTCTGGAGTGGAAAGAAGACCAAGTGGAGAGGAGGTGATGGACAAGGGTGCGACCCAAAGCGCTGCCTGCTGAGTGTGGAGCTCAGACACAGCAGCCGGGGAGGCTCACCACCCTCGGAGGACACAGCTTCCGCGGGTCTGGGGTCGCCGCGTTCAGCACAGCCCATGCTTGGCACAGACCCAACACAGGCTGGAAACAGTAAGAGACGAGGCTAAGGGCTGGCATTGTGGTGCCGAGGGTTAAGCCACCGCCCGCGATGCTGGCATCCCACATGGGTGCCAGTTCGAGTCCTGGGCTGCTCCACTTCCCATGCAGCTCCCTGCTACTGCGCCTGGGAAAGCAGCAGAGGATGGCCCAAGTGCTTGGGCCCCTGCACCCATGTGGGAGACCTGGAGGAAGCTCCTGGCTCCTGGCTTTGGCCTGGCTCTGCCCTGCTGCAGCCACTGGGGGAGTGGAGATCTCCCTCTCTGTCTCTCTTTCTTCTTTCTGTAACGGTCTTTCAAATAAATAAACCCGAAAACAAAACTAAGTGGGTTAAAAGTGGCTGAAACAACAAGTACATTCTTAAAAACTAAAAACATAAGGCCAGCGCCGCGGCTCACTAGGCTAATCCTCCGGCTTGCGGCGCCGGCACACCGGGTTCTAGTCCCGGTCGGGGACCCGGATTCTGTCCCGGTTGCCCCTCTTCCAGGCCAGCTCTCTGCTGTGGCCCGGGAGTGCAGTGGAGGATGGCCCAAGTGCTTGGGCCCTGCACCCCATGGGAGACCAGGAGAAGTACCTGGCTCCTGCCATCAGATCAGCACGGTGCGCTGGCCGTGACGGCCATTGGAGGGTGAACCAACGGCAAAGGAAGATCTTTCTCTCTGTCTCTCTCTCTCACTGTCCACTCTGCCTGTCAAAAAAAAATAAATAAATAAAAACATAAACACAAGAGAGACAAGTCTGCACCAGGAGTTTGAGGGGTAGTGCTCAGCTGAGACCCCTTCCCAAATGTCAGGATCATGGGCACAAATGGCCTCTCCCACCATCAACAGGTGCCAACTGGAAGTTCCTGGCTTCAGGCAGTAGCTCAGGGGTCCAAGGAGGTCCTAGCCAGGTGTCCCTGCCCCAAGGAGCTCCATAGGGGGACAAACACTAAATGCAGAACCACACACGTGGCTACTGTGATGGCCGCTACAGTGGGCGGGTCCAGGTGTTCTGGGAACATGTGCTGGGAAGACCTGGACTAGTATGGGCCTGGGTCGAGAACGGGGATCAGGTGCCTAGGCCAGTCCCTGGTCAGCCAGGCAGAGGGCAGAGGACAGGGAACAGCAATGCGTGCAAGCAGCAGGCACAGGGCCCTGGCCTACATGCAGGGAGAGCAAATCGCACTGGAAAGCAGCAGACGCCAGAGTGCACAATCAGAGCTCCTGATTGGAGGGCACAGCTGCCTTTCCTGGTGCTCCCGCCCCTTCTGAGCCCTTGTGCCCAATCGCCCACCTGAGGGGGCAGAACCCAGGGGCTAGTGTACTGCCTTCCACAGAGTGGCCCAGCAGTGTGTGTGGCTGCTGAATGGGACGCATGGACGCGTGGCGGGACGGTGACTAAGAGTCTCTGGGGTAAAGCCCAGGGGCCGCGGCAGGGTTCAGCACAGTGGGACGCTTGCACCCCACCCTGGAGTGCCTGCTTCCGGCCCCAGCCCTCCCGCTTCTGAGCCAGCTCCCTGCTAATGCACACCCTCGACGCAGCAGTGACGGCTCAGGCCCTTGGGCCCCTTGCCACATGTGCAGGAGACCCAGGCTGGCCAAGCTCTGGCTGATGCAGGCATTTGAGGAGCGAACAAGCAGAGGGAAGACCTCTCTCCCTCTCCCTCTCTCAAATAAAAGTGAAAAAAATGAATAGGTTACAGGACTTTGGCACAGTGGGTAAAGCCACCACCCACGGCACCAGCATCCCAGCTCCACTTCCGAGCCAGCTCTCTGCTATGGCCTGGGAAAGCAGCAGAGGATGGCCCAAGTCCTTGGGCCCCTGCACCCGCGTGGCAGACCCAGATGGAGCTCCTGGCTCCTGGTTTCAGACTGGCCCAGCTCCGGCCATTGTGGCTAATTGGGGAGTGAACCAGCAGACAGAAGACCTCTCTCCTGGCTTGAGCCTGGCCCAGCCCTGGCCGTTGCAGCCATTTGGGCGAATGAACCAGCAGAAGGGAGATCCCTCTTCCTGTTGCTCTGCCTTTCAAATAAATCTTTTTTTTTTTTTTAAGATGCATGTATTTATTTGAAAGGCAGAGTTACAGAGAAGCAGAGGCAGAGAGAGAGAGAGGTCTTCCATCTGCTGGTGCACTCCCTAAACGGTTGCAACGGCCAGAGCTGGGCTGATCTGAAACCAGGAGCCAGAAGCCTGCTCCCGGTCTCCCATGTGAGTGCAGGGACCCAAGCGCTTAGGCCATCTCCCACTGCCTTCCCAGGCCACAGCAGAGAGCTGGATAGAAGTGGAGCAGCCGGGACTCAAACCAACACCCACATGGGATGCTGGCACTGCAGGCGGCGGCTCTACCTGCTACACCACAACACTGGTCCCTCAAATAAACCTTTGGGGGAAAAACAAAACACCTGCTTCTCAGGGTTCCAAGTGTCTCCGTGCGATGCTCTATCATGCCCCTGCTCCCAGGGTCTTCCCTGCACATAGCCCAGCTCAAGCACAAACCCACCGCCACCACAGACGCCCCATCGGTGCCAGCAGCACCCACGCCACCTCCCTCACCGTCTGTCCCTTGTTCCAGAACTGTCCGTCTCACTCTCCCCACAGTGAGCCCCACAAGGCAGGCACTGCCGTCTGTCTTGTTCCCTGCTGAGTCCTGGCAGCCCACACAGTGGCCAGTATGCAGCAGGCGCTCAGTAAATACGCAGTGGATGGATACAACAGCCACACACAGGCTTCCCCGGATCCTACAAAGTGTCACGCCAGTCAACTCAGCAGGAAGCGTCAACTCACCAGCATCCTCGGTCAGACGATCAGTCAGGGTCCCGGCTGCTCCACTTGCGACTCAGCTCACTGCTAACACGCCTGGCAAGGCGGCGGCAGCAGCAGCAGATGGCCCAAGTCCTCGGGTCCTTGCACCCGTGTCGGAGACCCGGATGGAGCTCCTGGCTCCCGGCTTCAGTCTGGCCCAGCCCTGGCCGTTGTGGGCATTTGGGGAGAAGACCAGTGGACGGACGCTTTCTGTCTGTCTGTCTCTCTCTCTGTCTCTCCATACCTCTCTGTCATTCTGCCTTTCAAACAAATAAGTAAAAAATTTTTTAATAATATTTTTTTGACAGGCAGAGTAGTTAGTGAGAGAGAGAGACAGAGAGAAAGGTCTTCCTTTTGCCGTTGGTTTGCCCTCCAATGGCCGCTGCGGCCAGCATGCTGTGGCCAGCGCACCAAGCTGATCCGATGGCAGGAGCCAGGTACTTATCCTGGTCTCCAATGGGGTGCAGGGCCCAAGCACTTGGGCCATCCTCCACTGCACTCCCGGGCCACAGCAGAGAGCTGGCCTGGAAGAGGGGCAACCAGGACAGAATCCGGCGCCCCGACCGGGACTAGAACCCAGTGTGCCGGCGCCCCAAGGCAGAGGATTAGCCTAGTGAGCCGCGGTGCCGGCCTTAAAAATTTTTAATAATATTAAGGATTTGAGGCTGGGACAAGGCTTCTCAGCTCACTCAATTGGCACCAATAGCCCTCTTCAAATTTTTTAAAAATACTTACTTATTTAAAAGGCAGAGTTACAGAGAGAGAGAGAGATCCTTGTGGGGAGCAACTCGGACTATACTGTTACTGG